GCAAGGAGTTATTTTAGAGATTTCTCTAAAGCGGATGGTCCCATCGTTCAAAGTGCAACACACCACCCCGAGGTGAGAAATAACGCTCTCCCGAAACCAGAGCCCCACAAACAGTACAAGAAACTGTCGGCCAGAAAAGGCAGGGGTTGGGGGTGCTGGCAATTCGCCTGATACCGTGGCAAAAGCAAAGAGCTTCTAGCGTAGGCTTTCCTCATTAACAGTATGCACTCTATTACCTACACACATACGTTTAAACTTAAAACTGCCGATCACCAATCACTTAGATTAACCCAAGAACTAAACAGCCAGCCACCAGCATCACACACTGCCACACTTTTGGGTGACACAGCTCCTCAAGGTGGCAAGTTTTGCATATCAAAACCTAAAAGATACAGAGTTCTCCCATACTGCTGTACTTCACCACAATGCGTAACACTCTTAAATGCAGAAATATTCTATCTCAAAAAAGTGAAAGAGATGAACAGAACTGGGTTAAGTCCTGTCAGGCTGAATCTAAGGAGCTCCAAGTGCTAGTTCATCTCCCAGAGTCATTGCAGGGCTCAACCCTCTCTCCCATATTAACCCAATTTTCATGACACTGGAAAGATCTGCTAGAAACACTGTCTTCCAACATCCTCATGATAACTTCACAGCTCTACAGTTTGAGCTGCTCTCATCCTAATTGTAACAGTTTTTATTTCTGTGACAACTGGAAAAAAAACAGCCAATTTTTCATGGTCTACTCTCAAGTCAAGTCAGTAACAGATGTGTTTATCTCTACCAGGTTTCTCCTTTTCTTGATCATTTTTAATTGCAGAGGGAAATCAAACCCTTCTCCTCTCCCTTTCTCATTCCTGCATGCTTAAAAATATAACAGTAATACAATAATAATTCAAAATGAAAACAGCCAATGTGTTAAATGACCTTACCTACACATCTATAATAATCACCAGGGAGCAGAGTGGGAACAAGCCCAAAGCAGCTGATGAAAACATTCCTTGTTTATGTCTGCATAGCCATTCCTTCAGTATTTCTGAGTTAATATACAGTATGTACTTTTTTAAACCCAAACTGCATAGTTTATACATTATAAAACCATGTTTACATTTTAACCATACTGCATATATTAAAAGCAGAAAGTTAGGATGCTTCTCTTAAGAAATGATGAAAAGTCATAAATATTTATTAGTATAGAAAACATGCATTATATCAAGAGATCCCAAGCACTGGTTATCTGTGCATTATCTCAATGTCATCCATTAAGTTATCCATTTATATAGTTTGGTATTAATATAAATAATAAAAGGCTTTTTATATTTATTGCTATTTTAAAACAATAAAGACTGAAAAACCTCATGGAACTGTTGAATATGGGAATGCTACTTGAGAGTTGGTATATGACATGTATTTTATAGAATGGAATTCACTGCACATTCATTTATAACTGTTTATCAATTGAGCTGAAGGTATACATCCACGTAGCAAAAAATAAAAAATAAGTTACAAACCACTTTAACACGAAGGTAATGTAGAAAGCTAGTATTTTAACTATTGAATGGAGTACTCGTTCCTATGGAAGCTGAGATCAGCTAGCTAAATGTGTTCTTTTGTATTTTTTAAAAGTAGCATAAGTAAGTTATTTTCATACTTCCAGCATTACAGGCAAGACATCCTTCATATCATTTTAGCCCATGATCAGTTGGGTCTGCAACAGGAAAGGTATAATACACTGTTTCAGGGAAGAACGCAATCACCAGAACGGGTAAAAGAAAACCCTCTCCCACAATTGTTTCCTTATGTAGAGTTAACATAGATGCATTAACAAGTTTTAAACCTTTATTTTTTTTTAATTACTATTATTATTAAAGAAAGCCCACAGGCATTCATCGTGTTCTTCCAACACCTCCCCACCTCAGAAATCTTCCTGGGCTTCACAAGAGTCCTGAACATATTATTTAGAAAAATTTATGAGAAACGTATTTTGTCTCCCACTGCCTCACTTCAATCTGGATTTTTACTTGCATAAAGGAAAAAGACCAACAGTAGTTTTAAGCTGCCTTTTTTTGTTACAGTAACACATATTCAGACTTGCTTAATACTTCTCTAGCAGTCCAGACTAGCCATACCAGGGGCAATTTGTCGAAGTTTTCAAAAACTGGAGGTCAGAATAAAAACAAGTAGTAGTCAGACATCCTGTCTCTCTCAAAGGACGACTACCAGGTGGCCTGCGAAACGAGCCTTCTGCATCAAAGGATAGTGTAAGAGAAATATAATAAATACGTTTAGGCCCTGAATTACTGTCCCAAAAGCTACTAAATAGGAAATACATTTCCACAAACTCAGCATATAATTAACCATGTCAAACACAAATACTTGTCTAAATTACAGAGTTTATTCTTATAGTTGACCAACTGTCATAGGATGCACTAAAATTTTCCTTTAGGTAACCCCTATACAGTAACAAACATTTAGGAGGAATGTGCATTACGCATTTATTCCATCATAGTCGAGGGATTTGTTCCCGACTCTGTCTCGCTGCGTGTCAAGTATTCCACACTTGCTTTCAGGAAGATGAGTGCAATCAAGGCAGTTGGTAGGTGCACACCTTGCAACATTTTATATACTTTATTATCAATGAGTAAGGCACATTATTTGTAAGGTGGGTATTTCCACAGGCTTGCTCATTATATCTTAAGGTTTACGAAGTATGAATCATACCATCTTTGGGTTTTTTTTCTTTGTTTCATAGTAAACTTAGCCCTCCCTCAAACAACCAAAACACAAGAACTTTGGCAACACTTCAGAGTGCAAAGCTAGTTTAAATATCCCAGATAATGATAACCAACATGATACAAATTTCCAAATGCAATTTGAAAAAACATTATATTTAGAACTTTTGCACTTTGCCTCTCACATAACTGGCTTAAAATGGTGCTCTACTTTACAAGATGTACAAATACAGTTTTGAAAAAAAAAATACACATTTGCTAACAACAGCAAATTCAAGTCTTGCTAAAAGAACATAACACAAATTAAATACTCATAAAAGGAAAATTAAAACTCTGGCACCTAAGTTACCTAAGAGAAACCACAAGAACAGGAGAAAACAAATTACTAAGTAAACACTGATCCGATATGGATACCTGTAAAACAACATAACCTTTCTGGAGGAGAGTAAGCAGCAGTGCTTCAAAATCTTCAAGTAACAAAAGTTTTGAGGAGGCTCTCGACTTTATGCAGTAGTCAAAGACATTTTAAAGTTTCATAATTAATTACACTTCGACTTGTTCCAGTGTGAGCAAAATGGAAAACCAAACACACTTAAAAAAAACCACTGCAGGAATATTTTTATAGTCATCCTTTATACTACATACCCTGGTGTCAGAGATCAGGTCAACTCCCTCCATCACAATTTTTTTTTCTTCTTCAAAACGTATCTGCTTACAGCTGGATATGCAGATTTTTACAGATACAAATGGTTAGAGTACAGACAAGCAGGAGTAACTGTTGCAGGATCAACTTGCACCACATACACCCAAGTGAACAACCAGTCCTTCCTCATGCTCTACATCACTCTCCTAAATTATGTTACCAACCATATAATAGTCTATGAGTACTTCTCATTCTCTCAACAGTTTATGCTGAAATTTTCCCAAAAATTCACATCTCAGAACTGTATAGTTCCATTACTTTAATTCATTAAATATAGATTAGCAGTTAGTGTAAGAAAAAAGATTTAATGGCATCAAAATCATTCAAATTAAATCAAGTAAGAAAATGTTGCAATGCACTTCAGCCAAACCATCACAAATGATATGTTATATAAATACAGACACGAGGTAGCTGGCAGCTACAAATCCATCAATTCTGGAACTGTCCAATTTGTCTGAAAAAGCATAAACTGACAAATATCAATTAAACCTTTCCATTAAAAAACAAAGACGACCTAGTTTATTGCTTTTAAAGGTTCATTCTTTACATCAGAAATAGGCAAAGGCATATCAAAGAAAGTCACCTGGCTGTTGATGGCTTTTGATTATATTCCCTTTTTCAAAAGAACCACTAAATAAAAATTGGAATGCAAACAGCTGACTTGCTTCCAATGTTACATGTTTCCACCAAAATGAACTAAGACTTGCATTTTCCAAGGGACCTGGGGGGTG